ATTACACATATCCTTCTGCAAAACTGCTTTTGCTATTTGGTACATATATTACCAATTTGTACACTATTGCTGCTATCTACTACATTCAATTAAACTATTTTGACTAAATCTATTATCTGTTGTCTTTTTGAGAAAATTTAGATTTTGTCCAATTCTTTAATTTTTGCCATATTGTTTAAATACATTATTGGACATGTCTCCAAATGTACATCTAAGAGAGGTTTTTTTGGGGGGAAAAATATACTCTTAAAACTTAACAGTTTTTAAAAAATAACCAGTAGAAAATGAGCAATAGAGAGCAAGAAGGTAGGAGTTTTCTACCATCATATCCCTTCGGTCCATACATTTTGACAACCATCCACAGATAAGAGTACCTTTTTAGGAATCCAAGGGTCTAGCAGCTAAGTTCTAGCATTCTGTTGGAGGGGCAAAAAACAAAACGAAACAATTTAGAGAATCAATGCATTGAAGAGACTAAACAATGTCACTTTATCCACATTACCTCTCCCCCAAGTAGCACTGCTTAGTAACAAGAGAGACCCCCTTGGCCTGAAGGTCTTCATGTGGGCATAGTAAGAGAGCTGTGGCTTCCCAGCCGTGCAAGGTATTTCCAAGAGGCCCACTTTTTTCTTGAACCACTCAGAATATTGAGGGTATCAGCATAGCTGAATGTCTAGGAGAGGTTAGAAACACAGAAGATAGGCCAGGACTCATAGCAACGTAACAAAGTGCTGTGTATTCTACTTAGTGCTCTGCAGACTCTACCAGTGTGACTGCTCACAAAACTCTTAGGACCCCTCATCTACACATCCCACCACCACTGGCTGGACCACAGGTCACTCCAGTGAGTGCTTCATGTGCCTCATTCTTCCCCTGCCCTGTGACTGGCTCCCCATATTTGCACTGCCCTCCCCCATTCAGGGTGGGCATGAGCATTTGTAGATGGCTTCTAAGCACATAAGATCATCTGGCTGAATTATTCAGGAGAGAAAACACAACAAACTTGAGCATTTCAGTGTACCACTCTTAGGGGGAAAAATGGAATAAGGCACAAGACTTTAAAAATAATGTCTGAAAACTTAACAGATCTTAAGAGAGAGATTTAGACATTGAAGTATATAACAATCAATGATCTTACTACATATTCAACCCAAAGATGACTTTACCAAGATGTTATAATCAAATTGTCAAAAAATCAAGAGGTAGGACTGGGGATATAGCTCAGTTGGTAGAGTGCTTGCCTGGTGCACAAGGCCCTGGGTTCAATCCTCGGCACACACACACACACACACACACACAAAAATCAAAAATAGAATGTTGAAAGAAACAATAGAAAGACTCATCACATACAAGGTAATTTCCAGAAAACTGTTAGTGGACTTCTTAGCAGAAAATTTACAGGCCATGAAAGAATGGAATGATGTATTTAAAGTATGGTGGCGGGGATGGATTGTCAATCATGAATACTTTGCCTGACAAAACTATCCATCATAAACAAGAGATAAATACTTTTCTAGATAAATAAAAGTGAGGGGGTTCATTATAGAGAATTCTTTAAGTTGTGTGTTGAAATATGAAAATATCAACTAAAAGTTAAGTTTGGGTCAAATTAAGAATACTCTAATGCTGTAATGATAGTGTATAAATCACTTTCTGTGGTTGTATAAAGGTTAAACGACAAATTTTTAAAGTAGCTATAACTATTTGCTAAAGGATACTCATGAAAAAAGTAAATTGTGAGATTTAAAAACTTAAATTATGAGAAATCAAGGAATAAAAGCACAAATTTTTTATGCAATTGAAGATAATTTATTATAGGCTTAAAGTGGACTATTGTAATTATGGGATATTTTATGTAAGGCCATGGTAACTAACTACAAAGCAAAATCCTGTAGTAGATACACAGAAGAAGAGAAGAAAATTAAAGCAAACTGTTATAGTAAAATTATTAAACCACCATGGAAGAAAGCAAGAGAAGATGAGAAGAACATGAGAACTACAAAACACCGATAAAACAATAAAATGGCATTAGTAAGTATTGGCAGTAATTAATTAAAATATAGAAGAACTAAATTTCCAATTAAAAGATACAAAGTGACTGAATTTAAAATAAACTGCAACTATGTGCTGCATATAAGAGATTGATTTTTAACTTTAAAGAACACACATAGGATGGAAATGAAGGATTAGGAAGAGATACTCCATGAAGGTGCAAACAAGGCAGGCAGAGAGCAAGATGTGAGCACTCACGGGGGAGCTACAGTGAGGCACACAGACTAAGTAAAAATTGTCAGAGACAAGATAGAAGTCAAGTCATTAAGAGAATACAGCAATTGTAAATACACATATACTCAAAATTGAAGCACCTACATATATAAGGCAGTATTATTATATCTGAAGGGAGAAGTAAACAGCAATACAATAATAATAGGGGACTTCACTTTCAACAGTGGATAGATCATTCAGACAGAAAGTCTACAGGAACATTGCACATGAACTGTGCAAAGGGCCTAACATGGAACATTCCAACAGGAACAGCACATTTTTCTCAAGCATACTTGGAATATTCTTAAGGATAGATCATTTTTGCCACTTTTAGTCAACATAGTAGTGGAAGTCCTAGCAAAAGTCTGCAAGAAAGTTGTAGCAGTCAGGCAAGAAAAAGAAATTAATTGGATCCAGATCAGAAAGGAAGAAAAGAAAACTTATTTGTTTCTGTGACATTATATTATATACAGAAAAAGTTAAAAATTCCACCAAAAAGTGTTAAATTTAATTTTAAAAAACTGGTAAAGTTACAAGATGGAAAAGTAACATTAAAGTCATTTGCATTTCTATGCACTAACAATAAACTATCTGAAAAAGAAATTAAAACAATCTTATTTACAATAGAATCAAAAAGAATAAACTACTTCAGAAAAATTAGCCAAGGAAGTAAAAAAACACTGAGAAATTGAAAACTAAGGCAGTGATGAAAGCAAAGAAGACCAAAATAAATGGTAAAACACCCTGTGTTCATGGATTGGAAGATTTAATGTGTGGAAGTGTCCATACTACCCAAAGCAGTATAGAGTCCATGCAATCTATATCAAAATCTCATGGGCATTTTTTACAGAAGTAGAAAAAGAATCCTAAAAATTGTATGGGACCACCAAAGACCCTAAACTGCTAACCAAATCTTGAGGAAGAACAAGGCTGGAGGCATTTCACTTCCTAATTTCAAGCTACATTCAGAACTATATTACTGTATTTATCAGACAGTATGAAAAAAGACACATAAACCAGTTGAGCAGAATAGAGAACACAGAAGTCAACTCACACGTTGGCAACTAATCTTCAACAAAGGTGTCAAGAATGTACAACGAGGAAAGAATTATCTTTAATAAATGGTGCTGGGAAATCTAGATATCCAAATGCAAAAGAACGAAAGTAGATTTTTGTGCCATACCCTCCCACAAAAAAAAAAAAAAAAAAAAATCTAGGACCCGAAACCATAAGATTACTACATGAAAACAGGAGAACTCCTTGACATTGGTCTTGGCAATGATTTTTTGTCATATGTATGGAGAGAGTGAGTTCTTCATTACTCAGTCTTAAGAAAGAAGGAAATTTTACCATCTGTGACAACATGGATGTAACTTGGAGACATTATGGTACATGAAATAAACCAGACAAATACTTTATGATATTACTTAGATGTAGAATTTTTAAACATCAAACTCATAAAAACAAAGAGTAAAATTGTGGCAGAAAACAAGATTTTGTTCAGGTGGTGTAAACTATCAGTTATAACAAAAGTAAGTTCCAGAGATCTGATATACAGCATGGTGAATGTAGTTAAGAATAATGTAGTATAGCTGGCTGTGGTAGCACACACCTGTAATCCCAGCAACTAGAGAGGCTGAGGCAGGAGGATTGCAAGTTTGAGGCCAATCTCAGCAACTTAGCAAGGCCCTCAACAATTTGGTGAAATCCTAACTCAAAAAATAAAAATAAAAAGGGCTTGGGATGTGCTCAGTGGTAAAGCCCCTCTAGGTTAAATCCCTGGTACAAAAAAATGAAAAGAAAAATGTGTCATATACTTGAAGTTTGCTAACAAAGTAAATCTCAGGGCTTCTCACCACAAAACAAAACACAAGGGTAACTATGAAGAAATGGATGTGTTAACTACCTTGATTGTGGCAGTCACCTCACCATGTATATGTGTGTATCAGATATCACATGTACACCTTAGAGACACAGTTTTCTTTTGTCAATTATACCTCAGCACAGCCTAAGTAAATGGCTAAAGACATGAAAATGGATAATATTTTCACTGAAAAAGAGATACAATGTCTCATAAGCACAGGAAAAGATGTTCATCATCATCATTTTTGTGTTGCTGAACAAATCGCCATAAACACAGACAATTAAAACAACACAAATTCTTATCTTACAGTTCTGGAGGTCAGAATTCTGAAATGGGTTCACTAAACTGAAAGTGTACATAAGGCTGTGCTTTGTCTGAAGTCTCGTATCTTCACATCTCTGTGGGTTTCTTCTTCATGTAGCAGAGTGTGTGGAAAACAAGATTTTGATTCTAATTCCAACTGCCTCCTTCTTTATAAAGACCTTATGATGACATTGATTATCCATCTGGATAATCTAGAATTTTCTTCCATGTTTGAATTCTTAATCACATTTGCCAAATTCCTTTTGCCATATGCCATAGCAAATTCACAGGTTCAGAGTTTAGGATGTAAACATTTTTGGTGGTCATTGTTCAGCCTACCACAATTAAATTAAATCATTAGATTTAAAACAAAACATGGTGAAATGTCACTGTGTACCTTCCAGGATGGTTACAATAAAATATAGTGACAACACCATATGTTGACGAGTATGTGAAAAAATGGATCAATCATTACTGTGATTTGGATGTGGTTGTTCCCCAGGGATCATTATTGGAGGCATGGTGTTCAGGGTGGTGGTGTTCAGAGGTTGGAACTAGTGGGAGGCCGATGGCCATTATGGGAGCTGCTCTCAGAAGGGTTAATGCCAATCTCAAAGTGAGTGAGTTGTTCTCATGAGAGCAAGTTGTTAAGAATCCCTTTCTGGCCTTCGGTCTTGCTGGGTGATCCCTCCCATTTCCATACTTTTCACCATGATGCCATGTGCCTTGTGGTAGAGCCAGGAAAGGTCCTTTCCAGAATAGAGCATGCTCTTGGTCCAGAAGAGTGAGCTAAGTAAACCTCTTTACTATATTACACAGCCTCAGATATTTTGTTATAGCAACATAAAATGGAATAATAATAATCATGTATTGTTGGTGGGAATATAAAATGTTATGGCTACTCTGGGAAACAGTTTGGTAGTTTTTTTAAAACTGGAAACATGGAACTAATATTAGAACCAGCATTTGTATTCTTGATCATTTTATATTCACAAAAAAATCTGTATACAAATGTTTATAATAGCTTTGTTCATATATCCCCAAACAGAGAACAACCAAGATACCCTTCTGGGGGAAGGGTTAAATGAAGTGTAGTACATGCTTACAATATAATATTGTTCAGCAATAAAAATGAATTAATTATTGACACAGGCAACAAGTGTCTAGGATAGTGTACTGAGTGGTGGGGGGAAGCCAATCCCAGGAGATTAGATATTGTTTGATTTCATTTATGTACACTGTAAAACTGACAAATATAAATGGAGTCCAGACTGGTGGTTGCCAATGTTCAGGGGCAGTGAGGGTGAGAGGTAAGTAGGTATGGCTAAATTGGCTGCATGAGGGACCCTTGGGTTATGGAACTCTTCTGTATCTTGAGAGCATCAGTATCTTGGTGGTGACATTGTACTACAGGTAGTCCCCAACCTACCATGGTTTGCTTTTAGATATTTTTTTACTATGGGATGGTAAAAAACAATACATATTCAATAGAAAAACTATTCTTTGAATTTTCATCTTTTGGGGCGGGGTAGCAGTATGTGATGTAACACTCTTTTGTCATGGTGGGTAGCAGCAGTGAGTCACAAATCCCAGTCAGCCACATGATCAGAAGGGTGCAAAACCTGTGCTTTTCTGTGTACTGTGTTGCTGAGCTATGATGTTTGGTAAGTTAAGAGTATATTTCAACTTATTATGTTTTCATCTTACGATGTATGTATCAGGACATAAACCTATCATAAGTTGAGGAATATATTACACTGTATATTACACTGTAGTTTTACAAGGTGTTACCATTGGAGAAAACTGATCAAAAGCTATATGACATTTTTTTCTATTATTTCTTACAGTTGCTTGTGAATCTTTTATAATCACGTCAAAATTTAAAATCTAAACATTTTTTTTAAACTTATAAGATGTAACTAAAGTCATGCTCAGAGGGAAGTTCATAGCCTCCCTTACGAGTATTTAAGGAGAAAAGATAGAAAAAGTAGAGCAAATTAGCACACCTCCCCCCCCCCTCAAAAAAGGAGAAAGAGGTAGAAATCAAGGGGGTGGGGAACATAAGACTGAGAAAAACTACAAAGCTAAAAATGTTCATTGTTTTAAAAGGTTGATAGAATCATAAAATTTATGAATCTCTTTCAAGGTAGATCCAGGAAAAGAAAAATACTAATGTTTGAAGAATCTACTGATGTGTTTTTATGTTGATATTGTATCTGGGACTTGGTGTATTCTCTTATTAGTCCTAATAATTAGCAGTCTATATGGCATTTTCTAGGTAAATGGTAATTTGTCTGTAAATAAGAATACTGTTATTTTGCTTTTCTTCCTTTAATTCTCCCCCACATCATGTTGTATTGACGAAAACTTTTAGTATGATTGTTTCAGTCAGCTTTTCACTGCTGCTACTTGAAGACCAACCAGAACAATTGTAGAGGAGGAAAAGTTTATTTAGGGGCTCATGGTTTCAGAGTTCTCAATCCATAAACAGCAGGCTCCATTCCTCAGGGCTCAAAGTGAGACTGAACATCATGGAGGAAGAGTGTGGCAGAGGGAACCAGCTCACGTGATCCAGAAGCAGAGAGAGAGGTTACAAATATATACCTGCCAGATACAAATATATACCCAAAGCCACGCTTCCATTTCCCACCTCCTCCAGCCACACCCACCACTTTAGTTACCACTCAGTTAATCCCTATCAGGGGATTAATTCACTGATCTGTTTAGGATTCTCACAACCCAGTCATTTCTCCTTTGAACCTTTTTGCCTTGTCCTACACGTGTGCTTCTGGGGACACCTCACATCCAAATCATAACAATGATGTCGAATGTCAGCAGTGAGAGTGGGCAGCCTTGTATCCCTGCTGAATGTAATGTGGTGCCTCTGCTCGGTCATCGTGAAGAATGGTCATTAATGTCGGTTTCTAAAATCAAGAAAAATTACTTATATTTCTAATTTGTCAAGAGTGTTCTGTTCTGATTTATTTTGTTTTGGCATATATGATTGGTAAATTTACAAAATGAGTTTCAATATCAGTTAAATTGATTTTTCCCCTTTTTCTCTCTTTTTGAATTACATCAATAGATTTTATAAATTTAAAATTTTTAAATTATATTTCATTTAAACTGTCAGTTTTGGCTAGAATGATGTGAGAAAACATTTAAAGATTCGTATTTTTTATTATAGAAAACTTTCGTCAAAGGAGATGGAGATGACGTATCAGTAAACTCAGTAGTTGACCAAAGGTAAAGTATTACCACAAAAATGTGATTTTCGTAATTATATCAATTATCATTTAAAGGTTTCTTTTAGTATTAGGGAAGTTTTGTCATGGTCTGCTAAGTTCGTTTTAAGTGACTTGTATTGAACTGATAAAAAAACGCAAGTGTTACAGAGTCTGTAAGAGTGGTTCACAGCAGAGGGTGATTTGGCCCCTGTCCCCCAGGAGACGCTTGGCAATGTCTGGTAACGTTTTTATTTCTTACCACAAGCAAAACCCAAGGACAGGGACATAGCGACTGGCATCTACTGCGTAACGATCAGGGACACTATTAAATAGCCTAAATGCTCAGGAGCAGCTCCCTATCCCACACATGACAAAGAACTTTCAGTCCAAAATATTGATTGTGCTAAGATTCAAAACCCTTAATTTAGGAAAAAAGGCCAGGTATTGATTCCTATTAAATGTTAATGTGTAATTTATTTCACTTGTTAGATACTTATTAAGCTAAATAGCATTTAAAATATAGCATATTCATTTTTTTCTTTAGTTTTTTGGCTCCTCTCATTACTGAGTATGATAAACAACTAGAAGAGCTAAATGGCCAGCTGAAATATTATCAGGTATGAAATCTTAATTATGAATTTTTTTGTAATATTTTATTTTGAAAATATTAAAGATTCACATTCTTTTAAAAAATTGTCAGAAATAAAATATTTTGCTATATTCATTCAATTCTTGGCTCTCTGTAAGCATGCATGTGTGTTTAAAGTTTCTCTTCAGTTTTGTTTTTTAATTCAGTATTTCCTTGCTCTTGTCTGGCAGGAACATCTTAGATGCTTAGTAGAATCTTTTGGTCACATTATTGCTTGCTTATATGCTTTTCTCTCTCTCAAACTAACTCATCCTTTAAGACCCTTCTTATTTGCATTCTATCTGTCTTTCTTACTGTTTGCATAATGGACTTTCCCCTCAATTTGAAATAGTGTCTCAGTCAGATGCTTTTGTTTATATTTTTTACATATTTTTATTAATCCACTTCTAATATAGACTTGAACTGCAACAGTTTTTATTTTTTTTTCCTGAAATCCTCTTAGCAATGAGTGCTTATTTTAGGAATGAAGGAAAAAAGAAACAGAGAAAGCTGTCTCTTCAGACAGATTATTATTCTGGGTTCCAGGGCTTCTGAAACTAGAATCATGGAAAATTAGAGTAATAGCACAGAATTGTTCAGGATACAATCTGAGTTTCAATGCATTACATTTTTAGAATATAACTAATATTTATAATGTGTTTCTTTGAACTGAGAATGTCTTTTACATTTTCTCCCCCAATTTTTTGATACTGGGATAATAATACAATAGAAGAATTTCTTAATTAGAATTTACACGTCTGAAGCTAGGCCCACCAGCTGGCAATGACTTCTCTTTGTTAGAGCTTGAATATACTCATGATTGTATTTGGCTAAGATACCAATCCCTGGATCAGTTTTGTTGTGGAAAGGCAAGTAGGGTTGACTTAATTTAGTGCAGATGGAAGAAAGTATAATGAATTGACATAAAAACAACCCTTGAGACTGATTTTTCTCAGAATGGCACTTTAGACATGGCAGACACTAAGCACTTGCTGTTTTCATTACTTTTCTCTTTATGCATTGGTAGGATAAGATCCTGTGTTATGCTTTAAAGTGTAGCCCATAGTAGGTCTTTAAATATCTGATGGATGATTAAATGACAAGGCTTATGGAAACATGATGGTTAGAGCTAGTTTAACAGTCTCTTATTTTTCAATTAATGGATTGATATGTAGCTTTACCGAGAGAATACATGCTTACAATTCCTAAGCATAAAGTTAGGTTATTCTATTGCATTTGGAAATACGTAGACTTCCATTTACAAACGATTATTCCTCTAATATATAAAGGTAAAAAATGAACCTAAGTTTCAAAAACAGGCTTTTCTTTAAATTGCATTTTCTATTTTATCATAAGCCAATTCTTAATTCATTTTCTAGTCTTTATTATGTACTTTTTAGCCTGTGGTCATTTAAATTTAAGCTAACCACAATAATGCCTTTTCATCTTTCTAATTGACAATTAAAGAACAACAGAAAGCTCTTTTTTTGCACAAATGATGTTTTGCTTTTATCTTTAGTGAATCTAAAGTTTTTCTGAATCTGCTCTCTATAAATTGCTGAAATGGCATATTATGTGCTCTAATAGTTATAGCATAGAATAACTTATTATCTTGAAATTAGTCTTTTAAACTTTTTATTATAAGTTTCATGCATCCCTTTAGTCAGCTATTTTACTACAGTGTTTAGTTTTATTTTCATTTAGCATTCTCACCATCTAAGGGTGATTACTAAATTAATTACTAGAAAGTCCAGAATCTATGATGATAAATAGTTGTTACTTCTTTTAGAGAGGAAAAAAAGATATTGACAGCTTCTTCTAGAATCACTGCTCAAATCGATATCATTAATTAGTAGAACTAATTCTTATGACTTACTGACTTGATCCAAAAATACTCTATCTTCAAAGCAGGAAAAGAATTGCTGTAATTCTCTATAGAAAGACTTTCTGCCAGAAAAATGTAAATAGTAGGGGGAAATTAGATGATGTGAGAACTACTGTGTCAATTTCCTTCCCTTTCAAATATTAAATGTTTTGAAATGTTTTACAGTAAAGAATTTTAATGTAACCATTATTATCCATCTATAAATGTAACTGATGCATATGTATCCTTTGTAAGTTTTTGCAAATAAGAAATACTTTTCAAGATACACTTATATTTAAAAAATTATAAAGATCAATTTTTTTAAAGAATTTTAAAATAAGGATAATTGCTATAGTAAAACCCAGATTTTTCGGCAGCACATTGAAGATCCACATCTTCCTTTTCCAGTTTTATTTCTTACTCCATGTCTGGTCAGTGCTCAGTTATCTGGTAGTAAGTTAATTCATTTTGGTTTAAGTGTGATTCAGGCATAGCAGGGTTCTGGGAAAAATTCACCTTTCACGCCAGCTTTATAGTTAGAATTGAGTATTGCTGCTTTCTGAGAGCAAGCTACCTTGAGCTTCTCTGGTTGGAAGGGAGAGAGGAGGACTTGGAGAATTGTCTGTCCTGTGTGTCTTTTGCCAGGGCTCACTCCAGGCCTGGCTCCTGTCCTTCACCAGGGTGCACAATCAAGGTCAATGGGGGTGTCCAAGTTGATGGCACTTTCAAGTGTGATTTTTACCTGGCCTCCTTCTTCCACTCACCCATTTATTCTTATTGAGAGCCAACTAGTTATTCTTTGCCTTTATGCTTTTACTTATAGTTCTCCTTCCTTTTTGTTTTGAAATCCTAGGAGTCCCTTTATTCCCTCAGAGAAAGTTCATCAAAACTTCAACTTGTTCCCTGTGCAGGATGTGTTTTATTCTTCAGAATGTGTTTTATTTTATTTATTTATTTATTTGTGTGTGTGTGTGTGTGTGTGTGTGTGTGAGAGAGAGAGAGAGAGAGAGAGAGAGAGAGAATTTTTTAATATTTATTTTTTTAGTTTTCGGCGGACACAACACCTTTGTATGTGGTGCTGAGGATCGAACCCAGGCCGCACGCATGCCAGGCGAGCACGCTACCGCTTGAGCCACATCCCCAGCCCCAGAATGTGTTTTATTTTTAAACTCTCTTTCCTGCTAAGTATAAGTCAGTAACCATGCCTAATTTCCACAGCAGCCTTGCATAGGGCAAAGGTTTAGATAGTTAATGAAGATGCTGAGTCAGAGACTAAATGAATGGCTGCTGAAGAAAACCAAAATGCTCACACTTAAGGGGGCTTCACCTAAGCTGAATTAAGATATATCCAAGATATGGGAATCATCTGGTGTTTGTTATAATATGATACTGAGAGGTAACTTTCATTCTTTTTTCATGGCTACAAATGTTAGGAATTATATGTACAAATATTTTTCAATGTGTTACATAAAGTATTTTATCTTATTTATAGCCTATTCAAAATGAATGTTTTCTTATGTTCTGTGAATTATCAAACTATTCACATTTAAAGTTGATTATTGAAAGTAATGAGTAAGTTTATCTGTAGACTAACGTTAAGTCAGATTGCTTCCATGTGAATAGACTAGTTGATGGAGATTTAATCATCTGGAAAAATGTATCGTTACACCATATCTTATTCTTTCAGCAACAGATGGGTGAGATGAAACTACAACTTGAAAATGTCATCAAGGAAAATGAAAGGTAGATCATTTAGCTTTTGGGTTTTTTTTTGCTGTTTTTGGTAACTTTCAGTTTTGTTATTTGATACATAAAATCTGCTGGTTAAAGGACTATGCTCTGGCATCTGATTTTTTTGTTGTTGTTGTTCTACTCCTGGCTCCAATACTTGTGACCTTAAGTAAATTGTCAAACTTCTTTCTGCTTAGTTTTCTCATCAATGAATTGGAAATATTAACGAAACCTTTTTCATAGGGTTGTCTGTAAGGGTAAAGTCATTTTTCAAGGACTTGAAATAGGGCACACAATAAGTATCTTATAAATATAATCAATTGAGTGTCATGTATTATATATTTTAGGAAACATACTGATAAAGCAGAAATTTGTCAACCCCCATCCTGCTTCAGAGGGACTAAAAATGTTGCCAGTACTGATATGTCTACCCATATTTTCATCCCTGTTTCCATTCTTCTTCCCTTTGCCAGAAGTAAACACTACCATGAATTTTGTGTTTATCATTCTGTTTAAAAATTTTATAGGTGTGTCTATTCACAAACAATATGTTGCTTAGTTTTTCATGTTTAAAAACTATATAAACATCATGTCATCTAGTAGTCTGGTACTTACTTTTTTTCACTGAATATCATTAACAAGTACGAGAGTTTCCAGGGATGAGATTACTATGTCACAGATTATACAGCGGTTTAACCTTACAATATAATACCAACTTAATTTTCAAAGTTACATTCTCACCAGTGATATTTCTAACTTTATATTGACTAATACATTTTGCTAGCACTAGCTCTTATCAACCTTCTTAAATTTTGTTACTTTGTTCATTGTGGTTTTAATTTACGTTTTCTAAATACTAATATGGCTAATCATTTTTCATGTTTGTTTACCCATTTGGTTATCTTTTCTCATGAAATATTTATTCATCTTTCCCATAATTTTCTATTTATCTTTTTCTTATTAAGTTGTCTGTATTTCCCTTACATGCTTCCTAGTGGTAAAATTTTAATCTTATCTGTAACTCCAGCTTCAGAGATATCTGAGAAATATAGTTTCAGGCTTTTGGCCACTCTTATAAGAGGCAGAAATATGGAAATGAACAGAAATGAATAATAAGTGGCAATTATTCATACAACATAGTAGACCATAGATGTTTAAAATATCTATTCCCAGGTTACAGGATTTGAGGAACAGAACTTTCTTTTTCTTTCAATCTTAAGATAGTGGAAAAAACTACCTTAAGATCTTTATTTGGGAATATAAGGAAATTCTAAAAAGCTTTCTGTTTTTAGAATCAGAAAACAGAAAGAATATAAAGTTAGTACTTAATAAATTAAATTAAAGTGACTTATTTTGCATTATTGTTTAATAAGTTTGTTGGTTTTTGTTTTCTGATATATAAAGTTTTAAAATTTGACTTCACTTTTCCTGATTATCATATCTTTAGTGCCAATGTTAGTCAGAAATGTTCAATTAATATTTGTTGTATTAACATAAAACATTTATATATATTCATATTTACATATATATTCCTGTTTAGATCTAGATGCTTCAAGAAAGAGAGGCTCATGTTATTTTAAAGCAGTTGGAATATATAACGAGGAAATATATGTACTGTAACTAGAACTGGGAAAACGTCAGGATCATCTCTGAGGATATGCTCCTCTTTCCAATTCACAGGATCTCACCCTGCCTTCTGTGTAGCAGCTCCTTCCACTCTTCTAACCAAAAGGAGAATTCTGTCTCTTCTATAGTTCAAATTCAAGACACCCAATCCTGTTGGTTTAACCAACTACCAACACTTATATTCATCAGAGCTCTTCATACCAGCCAGCTTATGGTAGACCTTGATTGATAGGGCTGCCCTTGACTTAATCATTGACTTCCCTGTGCACAGTATAGCTCATGCAGTTTCCTAGAGTCATGGGCTATGGATGGGGTGACTTAAGTCTGGGCATGGCAGACACAGTAACTACAGCATATCCTTGTAGATCAGGATGCAGTTGTGAAAGACCTTTCTCTGACTGGAGATATCAGATAAGGCTCAAACTGCTGGGTGAAATTCAAGATGACTCTTTCAGAATGAGTGGTATTTCATTAGCTGAAAATAAAATATACGTTCCATAAATTACAGGTCTATTAATATGGCTATATCTCAGCATATTTAGGGAAATTATTCATGATGAGACTTGGATGAGGAGTGGGGACCAGATTACACAAGATTTTACATATTTTGCTAAGGAGTTTGAACTTTTCCTACAGATAGCAGCAGTACAGTGAGCCCTTGAAGGATTTTAAACATAGAAGAGGGTGAGGGTGCACTTTAGAAGGATTGTTTCCAGTTATACTTCAGAGCTGGAGAATACCCTTCCTTGGAGTGGCCTAAGAAGAGAATCAGTAATTTGCCTTATCAGGCTATTCTGCATTAACCCCCAAAATAAAGCCTGCCCCATAGTCATGGTGTGGACATTGTCACTGAGCAGGCTTGGATTTAGAGGATGAAGAAAGTTTGTCCAGTGAAAGGAGAGGTCACACAAAGCAGTTGTCTAGAATGTTTTGTATTTACGTTTATTTGTCTAACTCTCTCTTCCGTCTCATTTAATTGATTCTAAGATGTGCTTTCTCCCCTTTGTCCATTGTAACACCTCCAAAGTGAGATGTAGCCAGAGTCCATGGTATGTCAAAGGTTGTAGGCAGCAGTTTTTGTTTTTCTTAGTACATAAAAGAACAGTACATCTTAATATCAAGAACAAATCCAGTTCAAAGACATATAGGCTGGAATTGTGTTTGATTCTTCTTTGTCTTTATTATTCACAATATAGCTGGCATCAGATATAGTAGACACCCTCTTATCTTCTGACAGACTAGTTGGTTTTTTGTTTGAGAGTCAAAAAAATGGTGGATAATAAAAAAATAGAAAATTTAAAAATTTTGACTTTGAGTTAATATAAAGGAATGTGCATTCCTTAATTTTTTGATATGCCAGGGTCTTAACTTTAAGTCTATTAATTGTACTTTTTTGTTGTCTGTCATGTGTAAACCATATAAGTGTATTTCATTTATAATTTCCTTTTCAATTTCTTTGAAGAAGAATGAGAACTCAGAGATCCTCTTTATTTCCTTTTAATTCTATGTGACTGTAATTTTTCTGACTTCTTGTAATTAATTATCTTCACTACTTCCATTTTAACAGCAATTATTCAATTTATATTTATTGAGATTTTCACATTTGGCTTAGGTTTTACAGAAAAAATAACTTCTATACTTTTATTAGTTTGTGTCATATTTAATTCAATTATGCAGTTATAATAACAAATTTTGGCAGATATTTTAGCTTGACTTAAGATCTGCTGCAACCTCCTTTTAATATGTTTTCCTATACTTCAGAGGCTGTAAAACTGTTAACTAGTCCAGGATATGAATTGGGTGCTGCTAATGATAAGCACTTGAAGAGACCTACTTTGAGACTCAAGTAGGAAGAGAGGCTGAGCCTCTGGCATGTATTTGAGGGTGAGGATCTAACAAGTGTAGTATGGCTCTTGAGCCCACTGCTTTAGCAGTCACAGCTCTCACAGCTGTGACAGGGTGTTCCTGTGAATGACAGCTCTGCCAGCAACTTCCTGATCTCAGGATCTCAGCCAAACACGTGTGATCCTGTAACCACTAATTGGTATAACTATTTCCCTGTAGTCCAGCTTTCTCACAGTGGCCAATGTAGCAGTTCCCTCAACAAACTAGTTCTGCAGTTAGCTAAACCAGTAAGATTGACTTTTTCCCCCAGAATTTGTAGTGCACTATAGAAACCAACTAACTAATGGTAACAGCCAAAAAAGCAACTATGCATGTTACTATTGGATGTGTGGTACTATTAGAGTTATTAATAACAAGGATAACACTATTTGCCTCCTGGAATCTTTACATGATTTCTCTTCTTACTATCAAGCCAAGTAAGTATGATAGAATTTTCTCCTTTCTATTTTCCTATGGCTCTTCCATTTTGATTTGCTCATGTATTTGAATGAATATAAATAGAACCGTAACTGTCTTATTAACCTGTATATAATCTGTTCAGATATTTGTTGAACTAAAATCATGGACTTTTATGGATTTTTTAAAACCATACTGCATTGCCATTTTTTCATTGCTGTGGCCAAAATACCTGACAAGAACAACATAGAGGAGCAAAAGTCTATTTTGGCTCAGTGTCAGAGGTTAGCCCATGGTCAGCTGAGTGCATGGTTCTGGGGCCAAGGTGAGGCAGAACAGCATGGCAGAAAGGCATGATAGAGGAGAACTGCTCCATTCATGGTGGCCAAAAAGCAAAGAGGGAGGGGAAGGTGCCCCAGGGAAGAAGAGTCCCTCTAGGGCACACCCACCGTGACCCACCTCATCCAGCCATGCCCCGCTGGTCTACAGTTACAATCCATTTAGACCATTCTAACTAGGTTACAGCTCTCATATTCTAATCATTCCACCTCTGAATATCCCTGTTTTAACATAGGAGCTTTAGGAGTACATCTCATATTCAAACTATAACACATACATAAAAATAAATAATACCTTAAAATAGATTAACTCCCTATACCTTTATGGTACTTTAGTGGTTTTTCTCAATTATATTGCTAATATCTTTGTAGAATCAGATAAAATTTATCTAATCAGTATTTACAAATATGTATTTGTATGTTTCAAAGAAAACAAGGCCAAAAATAAGCAAGGACATAGAGAATATAAGGAGCGAGTTCCAAGTACATGTGCATGTATATATCTTTTGCAAAAACTCATGTATTAGCCAACAACAAATACTTTATTTTTCAAAGATGCTTGAAACATTTACAAACATAGTTATAAATTGCAAGCCCTCCCCACCACATGCACGCATACAAATTAAAAATTAATAAATAAATCACGCCTATAATAAAATAGCAAAAGATGGACACAAAGAATTTCTCTTTACAACATTTTCAAATAACTTCAGATAAAAAGAATCAAACACTAAAATTAAAAACTACTGAAAATGGAGAGACTAGGCATGTCAGTGCACATCTATAATGCCAGCTACTTGGGAGGCAGAGTTAGGAAGATCCCTTAAGCCCAGGGGTTCTGGCCAACTGGGTGATATAGCCAGATCTTGCCTCCAAAAAAGAACAGAATATCAAACTAATGAGATATAGCCAAAATAGTTCTCATAACAATTTGTCATTTTTAATAAATTGAAAATAGATAGTATTGTTTCCATTAATGGCAGAATAGGTAATTAGTCTTCTTCCGAGAAAAACTACAAATCTGGACAAAAAAATAATATAAATCAAATCTGTTTAAAGGAATGAGAATTAATGAGGTATTATAGAACTAAGACCAGGAAAAGAAAGAAATGCAGAAATGTAAACCTGCATTTGGGACTCTTTGGTGGTACACTGTCCCTAAAGAGGTGGAAAGAGGTTTAAAAACTAAGATGAACTTGAGACAAATTTACATGGCTAGAAAGGTGAATATTGACTTTCACTGTCCTTGGAATTGTAATTAAGTGTCTCACAGCCTCTGGGTGTTGGGTTGGGATAGCCTAGGAATAGGAGTGACTCCAGGGGCTGGGGATGTGGCTCAAGCGGTAGCATGCTTGCCTGGCATGCGTGCAGCCCGGGTTCGATCCTCAGCACCACATACAAAGATGTTGTGTCTGCCGAAAACTAAAAAATAAATATTAAAAAATTCTCTCTCTCTTAAAAAAAAAAAAAAAGGAGTGACTCCAAATGGACTAATGTAAAAACATGGCTCTGAAGTGTCTTGACTCTTTGATATTGGCATAAAATGATCAGGATTTGAGAAAAAGAAAGAAGATCATTTTAAAGGAAAATGACCATAATTGTTAGGCCACAAAATATCACTGAACTTATTTATATGTAATAATATAGCTTATATGTGGCATAAAAAGAACAAGTGACTGGAAGATTAGAGTTAGCATGGTAAAACAAGGTTCTAAATCATAATAATGGGAAATAGAAACAGATCCACAGGCTGGTCTCCAAAATATGCTTAATAGTTTCAATGAAATGAGATACAAAATTGAGAACTTTGATAGGAGAACTAAAACCAGTTTTAAAAAAAAAGACCAAATACAAATTCTAAACTGAAAAAACATACATTATTAGAGATGTAATTGAAGACAGAATTAGTGGAATGCTACAAGATCAGAGAGACAAGTGGAGAGAATATGAGAGTAAGGTAAGAGATGCAGGGAAAATAGTGAAAAGAGCTAAAATTCATGAGTATTTAACCCTTAAACAACATGGGTTCAAACTCTGTGGGTCCACTTAGAGACTTTTTTTAAAAAATGGAGTAGATTTCCAACAATTTGAAAAAGTTGGCAGATTAACAAACTATGTAGCCTAGAAATATTTTTTAAAAGTATGTCATGGATGCATAAACTATATGTAGATAAGAGTATATTTTACCATTTACTATCATAAAATCCACGCAAATAAACGGTAAAATTTTATTAAAACTTACACAGAGACCATACATGGCACCATTTATAGTTGAGAGAAATAAAAACACATGTAATGATACATAATTAGATCTTTGTTTTATTATTTTGTCCATTTCATTTGCTATTGATTTAAAATCATTAGGAGAATTGATAGATTATGATGCAGTAAATTTTTGATGAAGAAATATATGTCATTAAAATGTTTATAGAAAAGCTTTCATAATAGAATGTAAATATTTTAATAATAGTTTCAAAGCAGACTATATCAGCGGCATGACAAAAATCTGTTTATTTTTAGCAGTAAAAATTTTCCTAGAAAATACATTCTGCTAGAAAATACAGCATTATTGTTTTTCCTCTGGAATTGAGCATGTCTTTCCTGAAATCTTACCATATTTCTGTTCATTTTTCTCTATTAAACATAATTTTATATCTATATGACAAATCTTTTAAAAATACTGTTAGATATTTTAAAATAAAAACATTCCTGTTATTGATACTTCTAAGTACTTTTTGATTATAAAATAATTAGCAAGTCTTGTCCTTCCTTAGAGAGTAATTTTCAAAGTAATTATTTCCTTCTTTTTATTATATTTGAGAACTTTGTTTTTGATAAGTATGATCTGAAAATTAAGGTTGAATTTTTCTAGTTTCAGAGGAGATTTGTAGTATGAGATACTTCTCTTAAAGTTTTAAGTGGATGGGATGTGACTTGCATTTTCACCTTGAGATGTATTTGCTATAAATAATATTTTATGCTAGCAATTATATTAAATATGTATTTTCAAAATTTTTTAATATTATAAAATTTGATTCCTTTTAGTTTTATATGATTAAAAATTATATAAAACTATATATATAAAAGTCTCTCAAGTTATACTTTTACATAAAATTAAAGTCTCAAGTTGTGCTTTCCTATCCTTTTTTTTTTTTTTTTTTTTTGGTAATTGTTTTAAAGCTTGAAATATCTGTAATTTAATATTAAGATTAAAGGCTCTCAGAAGTATGATCAAGCTTATGTAAACATGTGCTAGAAAGAAGAGTTTCTAACAGGCTTCGTTTCTAACCAGCAACCATTTTATTCTGCCCTGTTTTTTTTTTTTTTTTTTAGATTGACACAACACAATGCCTTTATTTTTTTTATGTGGTGCTGAGAATCGAACCTTGGTTCCGCCCGTGCAAGGCGGGCACTCTACCGCTGAGCCACAATCCCAGCCCCACTGCTCTGTTTTTTAACTGAACTAGTTAATTCAAATGAGTTTTGCAAAATACATTGAAGAAAGTAACAAATAATTCTGCAAGATATAAGGTGCCATTTATCTGACTACATGATACTAACACTTGATATTACTTTCTAAAATGGCTTGTTTTTATCATTTACTAAGGTATAACATCTGAATTTTGCCTTTTTTTCTTGAAAAAAATAAAATCAAGGACAAACTGAGTTCTGCTTCAGTTAATTATTATAATTTAATGCATTTGAAATTGTTCATCTTTTTATTCACAAAACACAGCATTTAATGGTGATTAAGCACTTTAAATTTTTTATTTGAAGTCTACTTAAAAATTATACAAAGAATTATTTTGGAGCCATGTGTTTATTTAATTGATCCCCAAATAGTAATTACTGCATTAAAATAAATTGAAATTATTGCTACATTAATTGTTTTTCCCAAAGGTTGCACAGTGAATTAAAAGAAGCTGTTGAAAAGCAATTGGAGGCCCTTCCCTTTGGCTCAGAGATAGGAAATGACATATATACAGATGAAGAAACAGTCAAGAACCTTCAAGAACAATTGCAACTTGCCAATCAAGTAAGTGATGGTATTTTTTAAAGCTTTAGACTGATTTTACAGAGATTTTTAAAAGTTTGTGTTTATTATTATTTATGAATGATAGAAAGTAACAAAATTGTTAGCACTTAATGATTTTCTTTAATTTGTCAGAATTGCTTTAAAAAAAAACTTGTATAAATACCATTTGGTATTTGCCCAGTATACTTTTTAAAAATATATATATATTTTTTAGTTGCCAATGGATTTTTTTACTTTATTTGTTTATTTATATGTGGTGCTGAGGATCGAACCCAGGGCCTCACACATGCCAGACAAGCATTCTACCACTGAGCCACAACCCCAATCCCCCCCCAGTATCCTTTTTAACTGAATCATAAAGCTTTTGATATGATTAATTTTTTTGCCCTATAAGAATCTTTTAATGTGAAAGGAAATTTTTAAAAGAAAACCACATTAGCTGGGTGTAGTATTACATACCTGCAATCTCAATGAATTGGGAGACTGAAGCAGGAGGATTAAAAGTTCAAGGCCAGCCTCTACAATTTAGCAAAACCATGTCTCAAAATAAAAATTAAAAAAAAAGAAGGTTGAGAGTGTAGATCAGGGTGTAGATCAGTGGCACAGTGTCCCTGGATTTAGTGCTTAGTACCACACACAAAAAAATAATAAAATAAAATAAATAAAAAACAGAAAATAATTTTATCCCACCTCCCTAAGTTTACATTTTTCATTTTTCTGTGTTTTCTTCTGGTATTCTTTTATTCAATTTTCAAAGATTATACTATTACATTTTTCTAAAGTCATAGTTCTCCTAGAATTATACTTTTTCTCTTTTTTTCTTCCCTCATAGTGATTAAAATCTATGGGAAGCTGTAGCTGTGTTCTACATATCCTGTTTTTCAACACTATAAATTTTTGTCAGTTTATACATAGGAGAATTTATTTTACACCTTCATATTCTAAGTGTCTCATATCTTTCAATTGCTATTCTGCTATTTTCTAGCTGTGTAATAATAGAAAAACTTCTTTGGACCTCAGTTTCCTCACTTATAAATGGGGTTAGAATCATAGATCACAATTTGACTTTATAATTATCAGTGAAAAGTCACATTCTTTGGGAGTTTGGTTTTGAAATTCTTTACTTATGAAAGTGATATTTTAGTTAAGTCAGAAAGGCTATAGTCTTGAAAAGAAACATGAATTTAACATTGAATTTTTTTTTAAAAAAAAAAAAAGGTAAATTGAGGGAGTTTAAAAATTAATTAGGAAAAAATGATGAGGAAAGCATAGTCTTTGTTCCAGACTAGGAGGGATTTACAGTTGTTTTTACGAAGTAAGTAAGTAAGTGGAAATTAGTTTATACTTAAATGACTTCTTACCAAATATTAAATCTATCCTTCAAAAGCTGTGGCACAGTGTGCACTTCTTACTACTTCAGAAGTATTAAGAAACCCATTAAACAGAATTGTCAAAGTGTCACTTATGCTTATTACTTATAGAGGACCTATTTTTGCATTTATTTATGAAAGTCTTATAAAACACAAACATTTGCATTTTTATCCATTACTAATTGAAAGAACTTGTGTCATGTATCAAAAATTACATGAACCCAAACTAATCAGATAAAAATTAAATATAATTTAAAGTCAAATATTGGGAGAAAAAAAGAATTCTTAGTAACATTATACTTCATCAAAGTACAGCCAGCCCTTTGTATCTTTGTATTATATATCAGTGAAGCAACTATGGATCAAAAATAGCTGGAAAAGCTGGGTGCAGTGGTGCACACCTTTAATCCCAGCAGCTTGGGGGAGGCTGAGACAAGAGGATCCTGAGAGTTCTAAGCCAGCCTCAGCACTGCTAAGGCGCTAAGCAACTGAGTGAGACCCTGTCTCTAAATAAAATACAAAATAGGGCTGGGGATGTGACTCAGTGGTCGAGTGTGGCCAAGTTCAATCCTTGGTACTCCTCCCCCTGCCCCCAAAAAAATAGCTGGGAAATTTTTTTTTTCTGTGCTGAACACATACAGACTTTTGTGTTATTTATTGCCTAAGCAATATGTCATCAAAGTATGTAACATTTATATTGTATTAGGTGAACTGCAGATAATTTAAAGTATACAAGGTGATACACTTAAGTTATATACAATTATATATACACTTAGGTTATATACAAAAGATAATTTAAAGTATACAAGGTGATACACTTAGGTTATATACAATTACTAAGACATTTTACGTAAGGGACTGTCATACACAGGTTTTGGTATCTGGGGAGGCAGCAGTGGGGTGAGGCCCTGGAACAGGCACCCTGTGGATACAAAGGGAGGACCGTAACAAGCACTCCATGGTGGACTGCCAGTCTAAACATCTTCATTCATTCCATGCATATTTATAGCTCCCTGTCCCATGGCAGACAGACCTGCTGAGCCAGGTACTGGCAATGCAGTAGGGAGTGCTGGTTCCTGCTCTGGGTGCACACAGACTTAGAAGCTAAGTTATGGCAAGATGGTGGGTGTTGATTCTAGTCACATTGGTTCCATTTTACTTTCACACACTGTGATCTTGGGAAACTGTGTGTGTCTCACCTTCCTCATTTATATATGGAGATTATAATAATTTTTATCTTATGGGGTTCTTATGGCAATTAGGTTTTTAAAAATCCCCATAAAGCACTTTATAATGCTGAGAATATATGTAGTTAATTAATTTACTGTATTTTTATTATTACTGAGCAGCAAGATAGACAAATAAGAATTAAAATTATGTGCAAAAGGTATAGTGTAGAGCAAATATATTGCCTTAGAAGCTGATAGCAAAAATACAGTATTAAGTAACTTACTTAATATTTTTAGTTTCGAGTATGTTGTTTTGTTACAGTAGTGTGATTTTAAAAAATCTTTGTGGAAGGCAACTTGACACTAAGAACTTTAGAAATGTTTGTATCCTTTGACCAAGTAATTAATTAAATAATGATATCAAGTAGATTCTAGGAATCTCTCCTGAAGAGTTACATGTGAAAATATATAAATAAACGTGTTTATATAATATTTCTAACAGTGAAAATTTGGAAATAGTTTAAAAATCTAAGATGTGAAATTAGTTAAATTATGGTTGGTCCAAATGATAAATTCATACTATTTAAAAATAATAATATATTAGTTTTAGGGTTTTGTTTTGTTTTTGTTTTGTACCAGGGATTGAACCCAGGGGCACTTAACCACTGAGTCATATTACCAGTCTTTTGTTGTATTTTATTTTGAGAGAGAGTCTCATTGAGTTGCTGAGGCTGGTTTTGAACTTGCAATCCTCCTGCCTCACTCTCCTGAGCTACTGGGATTACAGGCATGTGCCACCACACCCTCTTAAAAAATAACATATTAGTATATAATGTGGTACTCAAGATTTAGTTTAGTATCCACCATGATCATCTGAGAGGTTGTTGAAACAGATTACTACTCTCCTAGCCACACTCAAGTTTGTGACCCACGATATCTGAGATATCAATAGTTTGCATTTCTAACAGTTCTGAGATGAGGCTGGTGATGTAGTCTTTTTTAAAAAAATATTTATTCTTAAATTTTAGGTGGACATGATATCTTTATTTTTTTTTTTTACACTTATGTGGTGCTGAGGATCGAACCCAGTGCCTCATGCATGCTAGGTGAGCACTCTACCACTGAGCCACAACCCCAGCCTGCCTCCATGTTAGTCTTTTGAGAACCCACTAATTCTAGGAGAGTATGGGTTTTGTAACTACTAATTCAAGTGATGCTTGTCATCAGGCAGATTGGGGGAAAAATAGAACCTTTTGAAATATGAGACATTTCTATGACTTGAGTAATTAAGAAAATGAAATGAAAACTAAGTCTTACGGAAATGAAGAGAATTGTCTGGGATTATTCAGCCGAAATTTTTAAGGTATCATAGGTGAACTGCAGATAATTTAAAGATTTCAACCCAAGTCTTCGGGCTTCAGATTCTGTGTAGGTCTACACTTTTTAAAACTATGGTAATATTTAGGCAAAACCAATCTATGGCATTAGAAGACAGGACCACGGTTTTTTGGTGGGATTCCTGACTTTCAGGTGATGGTAATAATGCTCACTCTCTCAAACTGAATGCTGATTCTATGACTGTGTTCACTATGAAAGTTCATGATTTCCGACTTTTCTGAATGCACGTTATACTTCACTAATTGTTTTGTAGAAACTCAGAAACCTATATTTACTCACTGTGTTCTTTTTAAAAATGCATACTGTTCCCTTTCACCTTCTTACTGAAGCTAAGAGGGTGGATTTGCTCTGACCTGGTATTTGAAAGGTTGGACTTATGGACAAAGCGATGAAGATTTCTTCCAGAAACTCAGTCAACAACTTGCTGAGTTACCTGAACCTTGGTTTCTACTTCTATGTAGACAGTAATGGCCTCTACCTAATAGAGTAGCATTCCTCAACCTTTTAGGTTCCAGGATCCTTCTTCAGAACACTTAAAAATTATTTAGAACTTTAAAGACCCTTTTGTTTTTGTTTTGTGTTTTATATATCGATCAATATCAATTGTATTACAAATTAAAACCTACTTTAGAATTTCTAAGGTTTATTCTTTCTGTGAAACAACTAACAGTTTTCTTTTTATAAGTTAATTTTTTTCTTTGTTAACTTTTTTCCTTCTTTTTCTTTATTTTCTTCTCATTACTATTGTGTTGTTCTTGTTGTTGTTGTTGTTTTAAGAGGGGTCTTGCTGTGTTGCCCAAGCTGGTCTCAAACTCATGAGTTTAAGTAAGCCTCCTGTAGAATAGTTTTAGTCTTTCTCTCTGATAAGGCTGTGAAATGTGAGTACAAAGATAATTTCAGAGAAAGAAAATTTTTATCTTTGGGGTTATTCTCTAAATTATTGTTAATACAATTTTAAAACATCAAAAATTATAACTTGGATTGGAGATGATGTTGCTGAGAGGTAGAGTACTTGCTACTTTGTGAGAGGGCCTGGGTTTGATCCCTCGGACTATAAAGGAAAATATGTATATAATACAACTGTGATATAGTCATGTACTACAGAATGACATTCAGTCTATGATGGACTGCATGTCCAATCATGGTCCCACAAGATTTCATCACCTCCTCACCAAGTAGCCATTTGTGTAAATATATGATGTTCACCAATGGCAAAATTGAATTTCTCAGAACCTATTCCTGTCATTAAGCCACGCGTGACTTTACCCCTTCATGCAAGTTCTATTTTCAGTCTCTAACTTGATAAGAACTCATTTGTGACATGATCTATTTGCACTATACAGTAAATAATCTGCTAATAATTTAATGAATTTTTCCCCATAGGAAAAAATTCAGGCTATAGAACTCTGGCAGACTGTTGCCCAGGAATTGGACAGACTGCAGAAAATTTACCAGGAGCACATGACCAAGGCCCAGATTCAAGTATTTGAAAGCCAAAAGCAAAAGGTAGTCTTAGATTTCATGATTTCCTTGTGTATCTATAAGAAATTGCATTCTGAAGAAACTGCATTAGAGAGGAGTACCAAAGTCTTTACTGTGATTTTATGTTAACAATAAATGGATCTCTGCTGCTCAGAAATCCCTTAAACAGATAAGATAATTAAAGCACTGCCCCAGTGCACATTTGCTTTTATAATGGGATTAGCAATAAAAGCTGTATTTAGTTCTAAGAAGCAGCTATTAGATTATTTTATATAAATAGACCTCTGAAGCTTTCTTTGCTTGATTTCCTACCTAATTTGAAACAAAACAGAACCATGCCTTAGGTTATGGTGACAGTGCTATGTAGAATAAAAATGTTTCTATCATTAAATGTGGCCTATTAAAAGTAGATGTCAAGTTTATCTACCATAAATTAATCAAAATCATATAATACAAAGAGATCTTAATAGTTATTAAGATAACTGTTTTAACTTTTCCTACCAAAAGCGAAGTCATTTTACATTTTTTCAAAGAGTACAGCTAGATTTTGCTTTACCTCTATCACAAGAACTTGCTGCCTCAGGAGACCATTCCACTGGAAAATCTGCCTTCTTTAATCCTTTGTTGGTTTTTTGACTGCCAAGTACATTGAACACTATGGACAAATTTTAATTCTCACCTCTTTTCTGTGTATCTTGAGAAGCAGTTATTTAGGTTGGTTCTCATACTTTTTTAAACTCACATTATAGACTTTCTTAATTTTAATTTATGGATATTTCAATAATAATAATTATAGTTAATTCCTACCTGAAGAAGTCATATAACAATGCTCACATGATGCTTTACAGTTTAAAAAATGACTTTTTCTATACATGCCCTGGTTTTAAAAAACCCACATGTAATTTGAGCCATAACTTTTACCTTTCAGGTCTAGAAACCATTTTTTTTTTTTTTTTTTGGTACCACTCCCCAGACTATGTTGTATTTTATTTAGAGACAGGGTTTCCCTGAGTTACTTAGCACCTTGCTGTTCCTGAGGCTGGCTTAGGACTCATGATCCTCCTACCTCAGCCTCCCGAGGTGCTGAGATTACAGAAGTGTGCCACTGTGCCTGGCTAGAAACCATTTTTTAATAAAAGTAAATTCTTGAGGATTGTTGCCTCATTTAGGTCAGGGAAACCCATGAAGTTTTTGGGTTTTTTTTTGGTTTTTCACCTGAATAAGATCATTCTTATACTATACCTATGCACTAAGATTTTTTTAAAATATGTGACTTTTTAAATAACACTTAATCTTTATTTCCCTGCTTGCCTATTGATTTGGTTCTGTCTTCCCACTTATTAACAGCCTCTCCCAACTTTGTGTTACCTACACAAATAGTGTTTAATAGGATCATAACAGCTAATCAAACAACTTTATATGTGTAGAACATGAGAATTTTTAAAAAAGCATTGGGCAGTAATTCCTCTGCTGTGGTTTCTTTTGTAGATTTTTTAAATAGTTTTGAATGTGGTTTTCCAATACTTGACAGGGTTTCTCTAGCATTTGGAATTTATGTCTTTAAGTTTTAAAATAGTATTTACTAATGGATTGATTTCTAGAAATAATGATTTTTACATGAAACATAAATAGCTACACTAGTATCAACATTGTTTCCTTATTATTTAGTCATTTAAATTTTTTATTTCTTTGAATATTCACACAATAATAGAAGAAACACTAAATTTATGCATAATGACTTTAGATTTAATTTTAGTTTTATTTCAAATATGGGTTGCAAAGAAAATGTTATTCATATTCTCTTCCTACCTTCCCACTAGGATCAGCTGACCAGATTTCAACAGCTAACTACGCAACTCAATGTTGGTAAAGAGAGTGCAGAAATGGTAAGTGAAAGATCCATTTTACTGTACTTGTTGATATAAACTAGAAATTATCATGTAAATATTCATATTTATTTATGCTGATTTAAATAAAAAAAACCACAAAACATTCATGACATTAAAATAGGTAGACAGTATTTTTTTATCTTTCTCTTATACTTTCAATCATATGACATAGTTCACAGTATCTGAAATATTCCTAATCTGAAGACCCTCTTAGTGTCCTTGGTAAGATCTCCTAAGATCAGTAATCTAGACCTGAACTTTCATGAGTAGACTGTATACTTTATGCATTGTAGTGCATCTAACACCAGGTATATGACAAGGAGAGTACACTTCTTTGTTGAATGAATGAATTGCTCATTTTCTTCAAAAAAATAGGAAACCAAGAACCATGTGTCAATTAATTATCAGTACTAACTTGGATATACCTAAGTTTCCCTGCAGTCTCCTACAACAAATATAAATAGTTCTTCCAGTTGCATTCTTTACCTTTTTGTTGTCCTACTTGCCTTTTGTTTTCTTTTCTTCTCAGAATTTTACTTGTCTCTATTGTTGAGTAATAGAATGATGACATGCCAGGTCATCTCGCTCCTTCCTTTCTTCACTCTTGCTTATTTACTTTGCTGATTCTTGTTAGTATTCAATAAAAATGTCCTTGTTTAAGAGTAGAGTTGCATCATCAAAAGTAAGTTATCCAGTTTTATTCTACTTTAAAATTTTTTCTCCTTGAAACATATAAAATTTATTCAACAAACATCTCCCTGTTCTACTTATACTAACATTAGAATTCTAGTCACTTAGAACTTTTAACAATATATGTCTAGAGTTTTAAAATGCTCATGATGTACTCTAAACAAAATGATTAGTGATTCTTGAAACTAAAAAGAGTATTTTTAAAAATATATTTCTGTAGGAAATTAATACTCTAACCTAATCACAATTATTTGTAATTTCTTTTGGTGTATCTCCTAGACCCATGGGAATTATATAATCCTTTGGTACCTTATATACCATACAGACCCTACTTTATTAGAAATAGCCCAAAATGATTTTGATGAAAGGAAGCCATGGAGAATGGGTGTTTGATTACAGATAAGGAATACCTAAAATCTAAGGCAGAAGAATTCATGGTGTCAGGCCAAAGCTCTGAGTAAATAAAGTGATAATGATAAAGGAGTGGCAAGATGGATAAAGGAAAGTGTTATAAAAACCAAAGTAGGGGCTGGTTGTAACCTCAGTGGTAAAGAATCTGCTTAGCATATGCAACTCCATGGGTCCAATCCTCAGGACTAAAACCAGAAAAATAAGAAAAAAAAGGAAAGAAAAACTTTTGTAGTTGGTTAAAATAAAGGAAAATGGTTGGGAAATTTTCAAATGAGTTTTTTTTAATATATATATAAATGTCAAACAAGACTACTAAGTATAAAAGGAACAGCCTTAAGTGCCCGTAAAGATGGTGCATATCCCAGAGAGCACTCAGAGCATAGTCAGAGGAGCCAGTTTGAGTCAAGATCAAATTTGAAGAAAATTTCCTCTAAAAAATCAAGCAGTTTAGGGGTTGGGGATATGGCTCAGTGGTGAAGTACTTGCCTACTATGTGTGAGGCCCTGAGTTTAATCTCCAGCACTGCCAATAAATAAATAAATATCAAGCCGTTTCCATTAAAAATTGTTTTCTGATTACATGAATAAACTCATTAAAAATGAGTAGGTTCCTAGAGATGTATAATGAATTAATGTGTGTGTAGTGAATAAAACTGGGGCAGCATGGCAGAGGAGGGAAAACTGGACCCTTCTTTCTCCCCACAAACACTGATTGAATAATTATTCATGGACAAATTTCTTTTGTGAGAAATCAGAAATTAATTCAAAGGCTCTTGCATCCCAGGAAAACGTGAAACCAAACTCCTGGACCACAGGAGAGGGATTTGGACTCTTACTGGAGACTCTGCTTCAAATGAAGCACCACGTTATCTAAAAAGGACCCCCTAACTCCTACCAGCATCCAGAGGAAGTAAGAGTTTGGTATGCACATTAGGAGCCCCAACTTTTCTGAAAGGGCTCCAGACAGCCTTTCATTCTCCCACCTTTGGAGCTCTAACAGATCCAGCAGTCTAGCTTCCCACAGGAGAATGCAGGCACTGACTGGGACTGACAAGTTTCCGTGATCCTGCTCCTTGCTCACTATAGAGCAAGTGAATGGAAAACCAGCTTTCAGCTTCCCCCTGAAGCAAGAAAGAGATCTGTGTGTCTAACTCCCCAGCTTCTCAAAGGTTTTCCAGAGAGCTAGTCTGTCTTGCCAGTCTTAGGCTCTGTTCAGTCCACCACAGTCTAGCCAAGCAAGGAAGAGTGGAGAAGGGGGCTTGGGATTTTATAGGTCATAGCTCTCTGCACACTCCCAGTTTAGCGTAGAGAAGGACAACAAAATCACAGCTGCCACCCACCATCTCCCTGGGGAGGAAAAGAATTGATAAAGGCCTCCCAAATCTCTGGTTGACTGATTGGTGGGGTCTTCTATTATAAAAGGCAAGTCTGTAAATACTATGAGGATTATCTGCTTTCTCTAAGACACAAACACCAAAATAGAGTCAGAAAAATAACCAGCCAAAGATGTTTCAAACAAAGGAACAGATAAATCTCCAGAAATCAGTCTTGCTGATAAAAGGTTGTGGTTTACCTGATAGAGGATTAAAAGTAACTCTTATTAATTTGTTCACCAAAGTCAAGAGAACAATATATGAGCAATATGGGAATTTCAACAAAGAGAAAATATATAAAAATACTAAATAGAAATCAAAGAGCTAAAGAACACAGTACACTGAACTTGAAAACTTCACTTAAGTTTCCATAGAAGGCTAAGTCAAGAGGAAGAAAGAATGCGAGAACTGAAAAACAAATTAGTGAAATCAAGAACAGCAACAACAACAACAACAAAAAGTGAAGAAAAATTTAAGGAATACCATTAAGTAGACCAATATATACATTACGGAAGTTCAAAAACAAGAAAAAAAAAGGACCAGAAAGTGATTCAAAGATACAGTGGCTGGAAACATCCCAAGTCATAATAAGGAAACAGATATTTATGTCCAACAAATCCAGGGGACACTACATAAGACAAATCCAAAGAAATTTACATCCAGACACATTATAGTCAAATTTTGAAAGCCAGCATATTTTGAAAGCTGCAAGAGAAAAGCAACTTAGCCATATAAGGGAACCCACAAAATAACAAATAGAAGATTTTTTAGCAGAAACCTTGCAGACCAGAAGGGAGTGGGATGATATTTTCAGAGTACTGAAAGAAGATCACTGCCAAACAATAATTCTATAGTCAGCTAAACTCTTCTTCAAAATGAAAGAGTAACAAAAAAAATCAGGGAGTTTATCACCACTAGATCCATCTTATTAAGAAATGGCAAAGGGAATTCTTTAAGTTGAAAAGAAAGGATGTTAAACAGCTACACAATAACATAAGAAAGTGTGAAACATGTTAGCAAAGGGATATAAAGAATACTGTTTTACTCTAGTGGTAGTGAGTAAATCATTTTTAATTCTGATATAAAAGTTAAAAGGCAAAAGTAGTACAAATATGTTAGAAGATACATAATACGAATAGATGTGAATTGTAACAAAAATAACAAATGTGGGAAAGAGAAGCTAAATATAATGGTCTTTATATGCAATTGAAATTAGTTATCAGTTTAAAATGCATTAATATGAGGTACTCCCTCACCTCCAACCTCCACACACATACAACCAGTAGTCCCAGCTGAATACAGCAGTGTTGTATTCAGCGCTGCCAGGTGGCCTGTGTAGTTTCATAAGAAAGAGAAAATAATCAGGATATTAACAGAAAGTATCAAAAAGGAAGATAATAATAAAAAAGACAAAAGAACTGTAAGATTAACTGAAAACAGCCAACAAAATGGCAGTATTAAATCCTTTCCTATCAACAACTACTTTAAATGTAAATAGGTTAAACTCCTCAGTGAAAAGTGACCCAATGGATTAAAAAAAAAAAAAATTATATGCTATGTACAAGAAATTCACTTTATATTTAAGGACACACACATAGGCTGAAAAAAGAATACTTAGCCCATTTTAAAATCAAGTTGTTTGTTTTTTACTATTGAATTATAAAAGTTCCTAGAGTATTTTAGAGATTACTTCTTTGTTTGAGGTGACATTTGCAGATATCTTTTCCCAGCCCACGGGTTGCCTTTTCAACCTACTTAGTATTTCCTTTGCTATACAGAAGCTTTTTATTTTGCTATAGTTTTTACTTGATCATTTTTGTTCTAAATCATGTTGTTTATTTAGGAGATAATACCAAATAACACCAGCAAGGTAGTGGGGAAGAGAAGGAAGCTAATAAAGGACTTTGGAAATTGAGCGAGTTAACTCTGTGGCTGAAACTTAATACCACTAATGAAATCTGAAAGCCAGTGAAGAACACAGGCTCAGGTTTCCCACCCGCGGGCCAAGGGGACTTGGGTTACTGATACACCAATACCTTTAGTCATGCCGGGCGGAACGCTGGTTCTACATGTGTAGGCTTCACAGGTAGATGAGCAAAAGAGTACCAGGTTTCCAGATCAAGTGAAGACAGAAACGCAGATCAGGCTGTCTGAACCGAATCAGGTGTCCATTGAAGTAAAGATGAGGAAAGACAACTACAGATGTGATTCACCCTCAAAACACATAATCATTCTCATTTCATTTTTTTCTACTTATATGCCTTATGGTTAATCTTTAAAAATAGTTCTTAAATGTTCTAATACTGATTGTCTTTCTTCTTTTCCTGTGACAGAGTAACCAACACTATCTGAAAGCATTATCCGAACAAAGTGTGGAAACTGAGCAACTCCGAACACAACTTAGGTATCTTCCAAACTGAATTTTGTTATTTTATTAGTAATTACTTTTTTTTACAGGAGCTCGTGATACCATAATTTGCTTATGGGTTCTTTTTTTTCCTTTTATTAAGTATCTGTCAGTAGCTTCTTATATATCTGATCATGTGGGACAGGAAGAGACTAAAATCAAGATGGTTAGTCAGGAAATAATTATAGCATACACGTGAAGGGGTGTGATAACAGAAGAAAACTAGTTCCTTTAAGAAAATATTTTTACACACAGAACACTACTTCCTGTCTTTCTGTGGACTCCTGTGCAGTTCCCACATCTGCTGTTTCTCTAGTAGGTAGTACCAAGGAGCACCACCAGTAGAGGAGTGGGGAGTGAGCCAGGGAAGGGAAGTAGAAGGCAGCCAGCACAGATGCTCCTTGACTTATGGTGGGTCGTGTCCCAATAAAACCACCTTAAGTTGAAAATACTGTAAATCAGTAATGCATTTAACGTACCAGCCTACCAACACCATAGCACACTACATTATAGAGAGCCCACTGTTAATCTGCGTGATTACTTGGCTGACTTAGGGCTGTAGCTCTGTGCTTCCACCCAGCCTCGTAAGAGTACCAGACACCTGTCAATAGCCCCCAAAAGATCAAAATTCAAAGTACGGTTTCTAATGCATATGTCTCTGTTTCAGACCTTTATAATGTCAAGCCATCATAAATAGGGGCCATCTGTATGGGATTTTTTAAAATTGCACAATTTAGAGCCAGGCATGATGGCATATGCCTGTATTCCCAGTGGTATGAAAGGCTGAGGCAGGAGGATCGTGGGTTTAAAGCCAACCTCAACAATAGCAAGGTGCTAACCAACTCAGTGAGATCCTGCCTCTAAATAAAATACAAAACAGGGCTACGGATGTGGCTCAGTGGTTGGGGGTCCCTGAGTTCAATCCCCAGGATCCCCCCCAATTATACAATTTAATACTGTTTGTATATTTAGTATTCATTTGTTTAATAATCATTGCATTTAATAGTTTTCACGGGCAAATCTCCAAATAACTAAAAAAAAAATTTCACTTTCATTTCTCCTAGTCCTAATACTTAAAATTCAGAAGTACAGTCATGTAAGATTTGTTCTTGAATATTCATTTGAAAATATCTTTAATGTTTTAATAATGTAATATAAATTATGGTTTGTTAAATAAACTATTTCATTATGGCTTTCAAAATACAAGCATGTGTTTTACCCCACAAAATAAGATATTGTTTTCTAAAAACAGAATCTTTTATTTTTTCAAAATTTTATTTACAGCTTTTTATATTTTGATCTTATTGCCTTTGTCAACTTTCAAATTTAATATAAGATATTTACTTTCTATTTCCCTAGACATTTTACTTGTGGCTTTTACATGATTCACTTTTTTTTTAATATTTTTTTATTGGTTGTTCAAAACATTACAAAGCTCATGATATATCATCTTTCATACATTTGACTCAATTGGGTTATGAACTCCCATTTTTACCCCGAATACAAATTGCAGAATCACATCGGTTACACACTCACATTTTTACATAGTGGCATATTAGTGACTGTTGTATTCTGCTACCTTTCCTTTCCCCTACTATCCCCCCTCCCCTCCCCTCCCATCATCCCTCTCTACCTCATCTGCTGTTGTTCAATTCTCTCCCTTGTTTCCCCCCGCTTTCCCCTCACATCCTCTTCTATGTAATTTTGTGTAACATTGAGGGTCTCCTACCATTTCCATATGCTTTCCCTTCTCTCTCCCTTTCTCTCCCCCCACTCGTCTTTGTTTAATGTTAATCTATTCCTCATGCTCTTACTCCCTGTTCTGTTCTTAGTTGCTCTCTTTATATCAAAGAAGACATTTGGCATTTGTTTTTTAAGGATTGGCTAGCTTCGCTTAGCATAATCTGCTCTAATGCCATCCATTTCCCTGCAAATTCTATGATTTTGTCATTTTTATTGCTGCGTAGTACTCCATTGTGTATAGATGCCACATTTTTTTTTATCCATTCATCTATAGAAGGGCATCTAGGTTGGTTCCACAGTCTAGCTATTGTGAATTGTGCCTCTATGATCATTGATGTGGCAGTATCCCTATAGTACGCTCTTTTAAGATCCTCAGGGAATAGTCCGAGGAGGGCGATAGCTGGGTCAAATGGTGGCTCCATTCCCAGCTTTCCCAGGTATCTCCATACTGCTTTCCAAATTGGCCTTACCAATTTGCAGTCCCACCAGCAGTGTACAAGTATACCCTTTTCCCCACATCCTCGCCAACACTTATTGTTGTTTGACTTCATAATGGCTGCCAATCTTACTGGAGTGAGATGGTATCTTAGGGTGGTTTTGATTTGCATTTCTCTGACTGCTAGAGATGGTGAGCATTTTTTCATGTACTTGTTGGTTGATTGTATGTCCTCCTCTGTGAAGTGTCTGTTCAGGTCCTTGGCCCATTTGTTGATTGGGTTATTTGTTATCTTATTGTTTAATTTTTTGAGTTCTTTGTATATTCTGGATATTAGGGCTCTATCTGAAGTGTGAGGGGTAAAAATTTGTTCCCAGGATGTAGGCTCTCTATTTACCTCTCTTATTGTTTCTCTTGCTGAGAAAAAACTTTTTAGTTTAAGTAAGTCCCATTTATTTATTCTTGTTATTAACTCTTGTGCTATGGGCGTCCTATTAAGGAATTTGGAGCCCGACCCCACAGTATGTAGATCGTAGCCAACTTTTTCTTCTATCAGACGCAGTATCTCTGATTTGATATCTAGCTCCTTGATCCATTTTGAGTTAACTTTTGTGCATGGCGAGAGAAAGGGATTCAGTTTCATTTTGTTGCATATGGATTTCCAATTTTCCCAGCACCATTTGTTGAAGATGCTATCCTTCCTCCATTGCATGCTTTTAGCCCCTTTATCAAATATAAGAAAGTTGTAATTTTGTGGATTGGTTTCTGTGTCCTCTATTCTGTACCATTGGTCCACCTGCCTGTTTTGGTACCAGTACCACGCAGTTTTTGTTACTATTGCTTTGTAGTACAGTTTGAACTCTGGTATCGCTATACCTCCAGATTCACACTTCCTGCTTAGAATTGCTTTTGCTATTCTGGGTCTTTTGTTTTTCCATATGAATTTCATGATTGCTTTCTCTATTTCTACAAGAAATGCCGTTGGGATTTTAATTGGCATCGCATTGAACCTGTAAAGAACTTTGGGTAATATCGCCATTTTGATGATGTTAGTTCTGCCTATCCATGAACAGGGTACATTTTTCCATCTTCTAAGATCTTCTTCTATCTCTCTCTTTAGGATTCTGTAGTTTTCATTGTATAAATCTTTCACCTCTTTTGTTAGGTTGATTCCCAAGTATTTTATTTTCTTTGAGGATATTGTGAATGGAGTGGTTTTCCTCATTTCCATTTCAGAAGTTTTGTTGCTGATATACAGGAATGCCTTTGATTTATGCGTGTTGATTTTATATCCTGCCACTTTGCTGAATTCATTTATTAACTCTAGCAGTTTCTTTGTAGACCCTTTTGGGTCTGTTAAATATATTATCATGTCATCCGCAAATAGCGATAATTTAAGTTCTTCTTTTCCTATTTTGATGCCTTTAATTTCTTTTGTCTGTCTAATTGCTCTGACTAGTATTTCAAGAACTAAATTGAATAGAAGTGGTGATAGAGGGCATCCCTGTCTTGTTCCAGGTTTTAGAGGGAATGCCTTCAGTTTTTCTCCATTTAGGATGATGCTAGCCTGAGGTTTAGCATATATAGCTTTTACAATGTTAAGGTAAGTTCCTGTTATCCCTAGTTTTTCTAGTGTTTTGAACATAAAGGGATGCTGTACTTTGTCAAATGCTTTTTCTGCATCTATCGAGATGATCATATGGTTCTTGTCTTTAAGTCTATTGATGTGGTGAATAGTATTTATTGATTTCAGTATATTGAACCAGCCTTGCATCCCAGGGATGAATCCTACTTGATCATGGTGCACAATTTTTTTGGTATGCTTTTGTATTCGATTCGCCAGGATTTTATTGAGAATTTTTGCATCCAAGTTCATTAGAGATATTGGTCTGTAGTTTTCTTTCTTTGAAGTGTCTTTGTCTGGTTTCGGGATCAGGGTGATGTTGGCCTCATAGAATGAATTTGGAAGAGCTCCTTCTTTTTCTATTTCTTGAAATAGCTTGAAAAGTATTGGTATTAATTCTTCTTTGAAGGTTTTGTAAAACTCCACTGTATACCCATCCGGTCCAGGGCTTTTTTTGGTTGGTAGTCTTTTGATGGCTTCTTCAATTTCTTCCTTTGTTATTGGTCTGTTTAAATTGTGTGTGTCTTCCTGACTCAATCTGGGCAGATCGTATGACTTAAGAAATTTATTGATATCTTCACTATCTTCTATGTTATTGGAATATAGGTTTTCAAAATACTTTCTAATTATCTTCTGTATTTCTGTAGTGTCTGTTGTGATATTGCCTTTTTCATCCCGTATGCTAGTAATTTGAATTCTCTCTCTTCTTCTCTTCGTTAGCATGGCTAAGGGCCTGTCGATCTTATTTATTTTTTCAAAGAATCAACTTTTAGTTTTTTCAATGGTTTTTTTTGTTTCAATTTCGTTGATTTCTGCTCTAATTTTAATTATTTCTTGTCTTCTACTACATTTGCTGTTATTTTGCTCTTCCTTTTCTAGGTTTTTGAGGTGTAGTGTGAGTTCATTTATTAGTTGGTTTTTTCTTTTTTTGAGGAAAGAACTCCAAGAAATGAATTTCCCTCTTAAAACTGCTTTCATTGTGTCCCATAGATTCCAGTATGTTGTGTCTGTATTGTCATTTGTCTCTATGAATTTTTTTATCTCCTCCTTTATGTCTTCTGTAACCCATTGATCATTCAGTAACATATTGTTCATTTTCCATTTGATGTAGGATTTTTCCTTCCTTCTTTTATCATTGATTTCCAGTTTCATTCCATTATGATCAGATATGGTGCATGGTATTATCTCCATGCC